AAATACATGATTAAGATAATTTTATTTACCCACTTCAAAACAATTAATAGTTTGAATGTTACATTGTGCATTCATATTATCCTCATTTGCATCAAGACCATCACTCATATAGTCATATACATGTAACCAAAAGAAATTATATATATATACTTGGGATCATGTGAGACCAAGGGTTTTTCGTGAGACCCGTAATAATTGAACTCCCTCAATCTCTCAATTAGGGAACTAACTGGCTCTCTCCATTTTCTTTCCCAAGCTACATTTTTTCCTCATCACCATGGTCTCCTTTTCAGTTTCTTCTTCTTCCTCTCTGCAATTCTCCAATCTTACTAGTTACTAGTTCTACAATGGCGGTATAACATGGGGAGTACTTAAATGGTTCCGTTTCTTCCTCTTCTCATCTGCAATTCTCCAACCTTATCGGATCTTCAAAAAGGCGGTTACAACAATTCATGGGAATTTCCATATTTCGTTTTTCTTTGGGTAAGATGGGTATCGAAGCTCTCCAGTAGGATCCATTCCAACTTGAACTTCCTATATAAACATAGAATCCCCATAAGCAAATTAACATACATAATAGCCAAAAATCAATCATCATGAACGCTATATACGCCTGTATCCAACATACAACCTATATACGCCTATATACTACAAAGGTTTGATCAAAATGTTAGATGTTTCTCAATGTTAAGAAAGGGGTATCCATATATTATATAAATATTGATAGTAAGTTCACAATTTTAACCAACAGTAACATTGTAGTTGGAACTTGGGGTCCATATAAGTTGATTAATGGTGAGTAATCCTTTTGTCATTTAACTGCCATGTGTTCGATTTCAAATCTGCCTTTTTGTGTTAGACTATAAAAACTGCACTAACCCAAACAATTATTAACTGCACAAACTGCACTTGTTGTCCACATTATAAAGATTAGACTATAAAGAATGCGACGGAGATAGATATAGCAATTTTTTTTTAAATATTAGACTATAAAAACTGCACTCGGTTGGTTGATTTATTGCAGAGAAGAAACCCATGTTTTTATTCCTAACTACACTTTTTTTTTAAATATTAGAGGTACATAATACAATATTATTAGGAGGGGACTCGGTTCTATTGTGAATCAACATTCTGGCAGTCAACCATCTATTCCTATGCTGCCAAGGATTTTTCAATATCAAATTTAATTCATTTTCGGACTAAAATTGGTGATATAAGATGGGGCTTATCAGGTCCTAAATGCTGCATGAGAATGATATCATAATATGAAAAAAAATGTTTGCAGATTCTTGATTAGACTGCTTTCTCCTCTCCTTTTTCAGTTCGCGGTCAATCTACTCATAATTATTCACATGAAACAAAATTTGAGTTAAATTTCCATGTAATTTGTTCTAAACTCTAATACTTTCCCCATTCTTTCTAGGTCAACATTTTCCTAAGAAATTACAGTGATAAGACCCAAAGAAATGTTACTTAGAAAAAACACAAAGAAAACAGCAAAACAAGCAGTAGTTTGGGACTGTTTTGATACAAACAAGCA